GGGGGGGGGCCCAGCCGCAGGGCACAGGGGGGGAGAGGAGGGGGCGGGAGTGGGCGTAGGGGTGAGGGGGCGAGGAGGAGAGGGAGGCGGAGGGACCAGCCGCAGGGCCACCACCTCAAAGTGCCCACCTCATCTATTAGCACAAACACCAGGGCATCTTTGTCGTCAATCAGGTCCTGAATTTTCTGGAACATCTTGGTCACCAGCTTGCCACTCTGGAACCAAAACACTACTGAACTTGCTGCAGGCGCCCCCGCCCCCCACACCGCGATGCAGGTGCACCCCCACTGTGCTGCACGTACCCCTCATGCTGCAGGTGCTCCCCCCACGATCTGCCACTCTGGCTGACCACATAAACCCACCAGAAAATTCTTGGAATCAGAGGCCAGGTCAGTATGGGACGTCAGCCCAAAACACTCCGCTGTGCTCCTGGATGCTGAGACCAGGGCGGTGCGCACCCTGCTCACCTGCCTGTCCACCTCCGGTTCTGTTTCCCACCTGTCCTCACTGACTGGGAACCCGGGCACTGGCTGGGAGCGCTGCCTGTCCTCACTGTGCTGGGCCTGCCCCGACGCCCAGCCGACGGGCATACTGGCTCCAGGGGCCTTGCACGCAGCCCGTTAGAGGTGCCAGCCCCCAAGGCTGGACAGCACCGCAGTGCACCAGCACTGTCCTGAACTGTGGCCACGGGAAGTCTTCTGGGGCTCAGCCTGACCCCAGGCCACAGCTCAGCTCTGGAACCTGCCGCCCACGGCCTCTCTGCTTACTTTCCCTCTTCACCTATCCCTCTCCTGGCGTTTTTAGAGAAGTATTTGCCTAAAATGCAGGACTTTTATTTTTCAACTACATGGTTGACAACCCAGACAATGCGCGTTCATGCTTAACACTTACTTCCGAAAACCACTTAGAAAAGAGGCTGTGGCTGTTTATTTCGATCAACTGGCCATACCGGTACCTGGGAAGGTGGAAAGGAGCGAGATCACTGTACGGTCAGCCCTACAGCACCCCGAGCCGCTGCCGCCGCGCCCGGACCACGTCCTCGGTCACCGAAACGCACGGCGAAGATGAGGCACCTAGCCCTCCGTGCGGCAGCCAGGCCTGGCCATCTCTAGACTGCAGAAAGCAAGTCTTCCCACCCCCTTATTTACTGCTCTAGGAAGCACTCTTATTTCTAACCTACTCAGAATTTACTGCCTTTCTGTGTTTAAAGAGTATTGCCAACACTTACACAGTAAAAATAACAAAAACAGGCATCAAGACTTTTGGGCAAGAGCCCGAACATTTTAATAGAGCGTTAATAAATGGTCTTTTTCTGGGGACTAGCAGGTGGCGTGGTGGTTAAGGCGCTGGACACTCCCACATGGCCGACCAAGGTTCAAGTCCTGAATCTGGTGGCTTGCTTTCTCACTTTCTTTCTCTCTCTCATTCTCCCCCTCTGTCTCTCTCTGCTCAAACTAAAAAAAAATAAATGAATAAATAAAATAAATAATTATTTAAAAAAGTGGTCTTTTTCTTTTTTTAAAGTGAATATTGGTGACACTTTTTGGATCTTCTGTGAACTTCTGGCATGAAGCTGTGGAGGATCTGGGCTGAAAGCTGGCTTCTCCCTCCCCGAGGCTTCTCTCCTGTCTCAGCCAGAAGAGTTTGTTTTAAGGTGACTTTCTGGCTGGCTGAACACTCTTCTGTCCTCTTGGGAGCAGCTGATAAATGTGGACCATGGGACCAGCAGATGGCCCCATGGTTATGTCGCTGGACTCCCACAGTCAACCGCATTTGGAGTCCCGGACCTGGTGGCTTGAAACTCACGCCAGGCACGTGCGCATGTTTCTCCAAAACCCTGAGGGGAGACTGGAGAAGGGATTGTGGCGTGGCCATCCCCCCTGGATGGAAAAAGCCTTCTCCCTCCGGCGTGGCTGGCGGAGGGAACGAAAGCAGAGAAAGGGACCCATGACACAGGCCTGAGAGGGACCTGAAGACCGCGTCGGGTGGCTCGCCGGGCGTGACTCAGCTGCAGTCTGAAAGTCAGAGGTGGCTCTTGGCCAGGCAGCAGCTTATTTAAAGCAGTGTGTCCCTCCCTTACCTAAACAGGCAAGGCACCCAATTCAAGAATGTTTATCCCTGGGAGTGTTAACGAAGATCCACTGGGTGACTCATCTTTTGAACCCAAATCACTGACTTTAAGAGCTATGTTTAAGGGACCAGCAGTTAGTATAATGGCTGTCGCTGGACTCCCACGTAGTCGACCGTGGTTCGAGTCCTGGACCCAGTGGCTTAAACTCACGCCAGGCGCGTGTGTGTGCGTGCCCAAGATCCTGAGAGGAG